AGAGAGAGCGGGGGGAGAGAGCACAAGCAGGGAGAGTGGCAGGCAGAGGGAGAAGCAGACTCCCCACTGAGCAAGGACCCAGGCATCCTGGGAGTCTTGGGTTTTAAACAAAGGTAAACAACCTGTTGAATTTGGTATAAATCTGGAGATAAATAAAGATCAATAAAAATTATTCTGGGTTCAGGATATAGGTAGTATTCTGTTTTGTATTCCCAAGGCCCAGCACTGTGCTCAAGAAATACTTATTGACTAGTAAATGTTTAACTAAAATAGTGCAAATTATGTTGATATTACAGAATTCCTGATGACTACATATGAGACTAATACATATTCCCAAAGAGTAAACCTATGTGCAATTGATAAATAACAGAAATATTGTGTGTGAGAGGCACTGTGCCGGACAAAGATGAATAAAACCTGGTCCTGTGGGTGCTTACAAGGCCATTATACTTCACTGGAAAACAAAGACATTTAATGGCCGCGGCCAACTTCAATGAAGAAGCCCTTTCTTCAAATATAATGTTCCATGGTCAAGCACATTGTTGTCTTCTCCAGATTTAGGAAAACTCTAACCTTGTTGAGACCTCACATGTTGGGATCATCTTCTCACCCCACGTGGTGCACTGAGCTCATCCACTCGGGAACCCAACCATGGAGGGGCGGGGCTCCTGGGGAGGCGGGGCTTTCAGGAGGCGGGGCTGCCATGTTGGTGTGGGTGTGGACCTAGGAAAAGCTCAAAAGACTACCTGGGTTCTTGAAGTCCTTCTGAGCCTGCATGATTACTGAGGAGGGGGTTGCAAACCAGGGAAAGGGTACATACCAAAGCAGGACTGCTTCGGAACTCCCAGGGAGGTTAAAAGTCTATAAATCTGAACAACAAGAATATAGAACTGGGCCTGGGACTCAGGGTCCCCTCACCTCACAACCTTCTGTGCCCTAGAGGCCTCAAAGCTAACTCAGTTTCAAGAATATGGCCTACACCTTTGGAGTGTCAAGAAAAACTAACTCAAGATGAAAAAAATAATCAGTATGCCATCTGACTTCCTAGTGTCTTCTAACTGCAGTAGGGGCTGACTTCTTGTCCTCAGTTTGCATTGTATACACCTCCTAAAACTGGCCTACACTATAACACAGGAGACTGAGTTTCCTGAGGATAAGGGCATGTCATCTTCCCCTTTGAATCTCTATACTCTGTCATTGTGTGCTGAACTAAAGTAAATAGTACTCAGAGGGCAAGACCATGCTGAAGAAATGACAGTGTGACAGCTTCTCACCAGATAATTACTTGGATTACCAGTGAGTGAGTTAATCGGTTGAATTTGTGCACAGGGCTTTGTGAGAGATTGAGACAGTAAGAATATATATTGCCTTCTTAGGCATAGCAGGGCCAAAGGACACGGGGAAGTTATGCAGGAACAATAGGCTGTCAGATAATCACTTCCATTAGAATCTATAGATATGAGGTATCAATGGCACTAATTTCTCATTTTCTGAGTGCGTTGTTATGAACCCTGAAATCACTGACTCTGAAAAGTTTATTTTGGTACACGGTACACAATATCTTCAGTAATATTCATGCCTTATGTATATGGGTGGCTTTATAGCTTACAAAACATATTCACACAAAAGTTATCAAAACTGCTTGTTTTTTAGCTTCCTCATAGCCAAATGCTTTATGTATGTTTATGTTTTGCCTTATACTCACAATAAACCTTTGAGGTATTATATTTTGTCCATCGCACAAATGTGGAAAGAGGACCTTCTGAGAAGTTCATACTACTTGTGAGAACGTAACCAGGATGTGCAGTCAAGTTTCTCTAACTACAAAGCCAAAGTTCTTTCCAGCATACAAAATGGCCTCACAACATCATCTTCACTTTTATACTATGATCCAAATATAAATATCACCCTCCGGACTCATTCATTCAATAAACATGTATCAATAACCTTCCATGTGATGTTTGTTCCTCCAACAAAATTCATATGTTCAATCCTAATGCTCAATGTGATGGTGTTAGGTGGGGCCTCTGGGAAGTATTTAGGTCATGAATGAGATTAGTGCCCTTATCAAAGAGACCCCACAGAGTTCCCCAGTCCCCGGCAAAAGGAGAAGACACAACAAGAAGTCTATGACCTGGAAGATGGCCTTCACTCAAGTAAAATGGCACCCTGGTCTCAGATTTCCAGCCTCTCAGATTTCCCAGCCTCCAGAACTGTGAGAAATAACTTTCTCCACCCAGTCTGTGGTGTTTTGTTATAGCAGCCCAAAGGGACTAAGACACGTGCCGACCACCATCCTAGGCACTGGAGACACAGCAGCAGTCAAAACTATCAAAATCTTGGGGCACCTGGGTGGCTCAGTTGTTAAGCGTCTGTCTTCGGCTCAGGTCATGATCCCAGGGTCCTGGGATCGAGCCCCGCATCAGGCTCCCTGCTCCACGGGAAGCCTGCTTCTCCCTCTCCCACTCCCCCTGCTTGTGTTCCCTCTCTCGCTGTGTCTCTCTCTGTCAAATAAATAAATAAAATCTTTAAAAAAAAAAAAAACTATCAAAATCTCTGCCCTCTTTGGAGTTTCCATTCTGGAGAGGGGATGGAAGAAGAAAAGAAAAAGAAAAAAAAAAGCCCCACAAATATCTGTCAACTGGCAAGAGCTGTGGAGAAAGATAATGCAAGGTAAGGGGTGAGGAAGTACCAGGAAGGATAGGGTTGAATGCAGCTATTGGCTATCGAGTGGTCAGGGGTAGGTGTCTTTGATAAGATGATATTTGAGTGAGCAGAGGCCTGAAGGAAGTGAAGGAGCCAGCCCATGGGTTGTGTGGGGGAAGGAACGTTTTTGATGGAGAGACTAGTAAGTGTAAAGTCCCCCATATTGGAGTATGTGCTGGAAGGGATGTGCTTGGCATATTGGAGTAAGAGCTGAGAGATCAGTGTGTCAGCCGTGCCAGTGGGGAAGTGGTGGGGGGCAAGGAAGAGATGAAGCCAGAAAAGAATCTGAGACTAAGTCACACTTTTAGGTCACTGTAAGGACTTTGGATTTTACGCTGAATGCGATGAGCCATTGGACAGTTCTCTTCCAACACAGAACATGACTGACTTGCAGGATTACTGTGAAGAAGGACAAGGGAAAAACCAGGGAGATGAGGTAGGAGGCTATATACTACAGTCCAATTAGAGGGACGGTAGTTTAGACTAGAGTGAAGGTGGAAGACAGGTTTGACTGCAAGGGTTTTGGCCTGAGCGTAGAAGGCGTAGAAAGCGTAGAAAGACGGGGTTGTCATTGGCTGAGATGGATAAGACTGGGGGAGCAGCAGATTTGGGGGTGAAGATCAAGAGTTGATCAAGATCAAGATCAAGAGTTCAGCTTTAAACATGTTATCTCTGAGAAGATGTCAAGAAGGCAACCGGCTATGGGAATATGGATTTCAGAGGAGGACAAGTCCATGTTGGAGGTGTAAGTGTGGAGTCTATATCAAGGTACTGATGTTACATATCATAGATGAGAGTGTCTAAAGAGTGAGTCCAAGAGGAGGCCTGCAGCCCTGCAAACCTTAGCTTTTAGAGATGAAGAGGGCCAGTCAAGGAAACTGAGGAGTGGGCAGGGAGGAAGGAGGAAAACTTCAAGAGACTTCAAGAAAAAAGTATTTAAGGAGAGAGTGATCAGTTTGCTCCAATAACTCTGATAGGTCCAGGAAGATGAGGGCCTAGACTGACCGCTGCTTTTAGCACTCACTGGCTAGTGGATGGAGGTTATTAGTTCCAGCTTTCCCAGAGTGAGAGAAACAAGGTTCAAGAGATTGAACAATCAAGGTCACATGGTCAATTAGCACCAGAACTGGGCCCAGAACCAAATAATGAACACAGGCCTTCAGAAGTTAGCCATGTTTCTTGAATCCCAGAGCAGGCTCTTCTTCAATAACATATTATGATCTCATCCTTCCCTTGGTAACTGCGATTCATGAGGGGGGACACTTAAAGAACATTAAGACTGTAAACAAAAGGAAATAAACATCAATAGTAGAATTGGGGGGCATAATGACAGACAATGGTTTGGTATTTCATGCCAGAGACAATGGCCCTCAAATCAAATGATACAGACTCTGCAACCAGGGCATGCCCAAGTGTCAAAACACCTTTTGGTGCAAAAAAAGGTTTACATCTCCCCAAAATGAATTCTCTGTTCATTGTATTTCACTAGATAATTTCCATGTAAATAAATAGATAAATAACCCCAGGCCTGATTACTCTATGTTAATGTGTATGTATAGACAGGGTTTGAATAATGGGGATCTGATTCCCCACCCTTTTCTTCACTTGATCTCCTCCTTATAAAGGGGTCCAAAAAGGGGGAGAGGGAGAACATAATTTTACTTTTAATAAATGAAACAAATCTTTGGGGGACAGCGGGCAAAGGCACAATGAAGCCCTAAACCATTGAGGTACAAAAGCCACAGTTTTAACAGTCCCCACTTCTAACCTCAAATCCACAGCCGCCAACAAACCGAGTCCACCGTGTTGGCAACGTCTGCCGAACGATTTTGTAGAAGATTTTCAACGGGAGGAAAAGCAGGGGATGGACGAAACGAAGACACAAGCCTACTCGGGCCGGGCCGGGCTGGGCGGGGCCGGGAAGGAGGGGCCGACTAGCACAGGCAGGCAGGACAGGCAGGGACACGGAGGCAGGCAGGCACTTTTCGAGGGAGGGGTTGAGCAAAGGCCGGCGCCCTGCCCACCCTCTGGAGAGGGGAACGGTCGGTGCCGAGCCAGGACGGGTGGTGGAGAAAAGCGCGGTTAGGCAGCTCTAAACTTTACAGAGTCCAAGTGTCATCCCTCGATTGTGGCCCCTACACCTGAGGTCTCCCTCCAGGGCTGCAGTCAACGCCTCGCGCCTCCCTTCCCGCCTCTTTTCCCCCCGAGAACGCAGGGCAGAAAGGAGCGCGGGGTGGACAGGGTGCCGGGGATCAGTGGGCGTGAGCGCGGGGCACAGGCTGCCGCTCGGTTACCTGCTGACGCGGAGTCTCCCCCAAAGGCGGAGGCGCAGCCCTCCCTTCCCGGCCCGTCACCCGCGCCGGCTTCGGCTGGGGTGCCCCGTAGCCAGGGCCCTGCGCCCCAGCGGGAGAGTCGCCAGCCGCAGGTGCCGCGCCCGGGACCGCTGCAGGCTGCTCCAGGAAGCCGGGAGTCCGGGAACCCGCGCGCGCTCGCGGGGCGGCTTGGCTGGGTAACGGCGCCGCGCGCGCCCCCTGCTGGCCAGGCCGCACCTGCGCGCCGAGCCCGGGGTCTGAGTGCCCCACAGCCAGCCACCCCGGGCTCCAGCGATTTCGACAAGCCTGACCACAAAACACGGTGTAGGGTTGCTGGCTCGGCTCCTTTCCTCTGATTTTGGAGTTTGTGCCAAGGAGTTAAAGATCCTTCCCGCACTCCCCACCCCCTTCCAAATTCTGAGTTTGAGAAGGCAAAATCCAACAAGACAAAAATATGGCAGGCCCCAACTTCTCTTCCAAGGAGCTAGAGAACTGTATCCAGGCCAGCTTTGTTTCTCCAGCCAGGTCCGTGAAGAACCTGGTTTTCCTATACTTACAAGTACCATCTGAGCAAGGCCTGCTGGGAACACAGGATCAGTGCACACATTCTTCCGTAAGTATGAGAGGGATGCAAAAGAAGTAGCACAGGGTGTTTACAAGCTACTGAAATTTTGGTGGACAGAGAGAGGAGCTAGTCTCCTTTTTATACTTGATATTTGAGCCATTTTGTTTCCATTAATGCACTTATCATTCTTTTTTGTTTCTTTTTTTTTAAGGTTTTATTTATTTATTTGAGAGAGAGAGACACAGCGAGAGAGGGAACACAAGCAGGGGGAGTGGGAGAGGGAGAAGCAGGCTCCCCATGAGCAGGGAGCTGAGCTGAAGGCAGACGCTTAACGACTGAGCCACCCAGGCGCCCGCTCTTATCATTCTTTCAAGTCCCATGGTGCTGGCTCACCTCCTAGATTGAATTTAACAAAGCAAGAGTTTAAGTTAGGAGTAAAATTTTATAATAAAAGGAAGAAAACAGAAACCAGGACTTTTTTGTTATTGAATAATTAATATAAAGTTTATGGATCTGAAAAGTTACGTGACTAATAGTAAAATAGTTAATATTTATGGAGTTCTTACTATTTACCAGAAGCTGTTCTAAGAGCTTTATTTATTTTATAACAAAAATAGGTTCTTATAAGATGCTATAAATATTGTATATTTATTAACACATTAAATAAAACAACCCTATGTGATGGATAACATAATTATCCCCATTTTAGGGTTGAGGAAATTGAGATAGAGAGGTGACACAGCTAGTTAGCTGTAAAGCTGGAATTTAAACCCAGGTAAGCTGGTTCCAGTGTCCATACTCTCAGCTGTTATGTTATACTGCCTCTGTTAGAAAAAAAATTAACTGTGATCTCCTTTTTTCCTCACAACAAACCCACCAGGTGGGTTCTGTTATTGTCTCCGTCTTACAGACAAGGAGACTTAGGCTCAGAGAGGCTAAATAATTGTCCAAGATAACAGAGCTAGTGAGTGGCGCAGGCGAGAGTCAGTCTGATCCTTAACTAACCACAGGCGGGGAGATGCTATTTTCGTACGTTCAACCATACAGAGGGAGAAGGAATTACCAAGAAAGTGTGTGAAACTTTTATTAGCTTCCAATACTGAGCCCCTGGGCTTTAGGCTCAGTCCCTCTGTGTCCCTTTTCAGGACTAACTCGGCTGCAATGTCTCTCCAAGTCGCTCCACCTTTGCTGTACTCTGTTACTGAGATCAAGAACATTCGGGTCCTTGACCAGACTCAGAGGGAGACTACTAGCCATTTTGCCTACAGCTGGGACAACTCTTCCCTGAGGAGGGATAGCATATTTAAAGGACCTACACAGTGTGAGCTTTCATCCCTTTTATGGCCAGGCCTCCAGGACACTTTGGGAAGGGACAGCTATAGGCATCAGTACCTCCAAGCCCTACCTGGGAAACAATGTTGCCTTCTGCAGGGGAAGAAAAGCCATCAAAGAGGAGGCACGGAGGATGCATAATGCCATCACCATATGAACAACTTGATTTCTCTCGGTTTTTGAAGTTCATTTCTTTCTCCCCTTGGAGGCAAGACCTATCTTGCCTAATATAGTGAGTTGGAGGGGTGTGGGGCTGGTCGAGGAAGAAGAGAAGACCATGAGGTGGGAGTAACACACAGCAAGCTCTATTCGGGCAACACATTGACAGGTTTGCGTGCGGGAAGTGGGGAAGGGAGTCCGACACAGTATAGGACCATTTGGATGCTATGACTGCACAGAGGCTTCCTCCTAGAACAGTAGGAAGGTAAGGGAACTCCTAGGGGAGAGGATGATGGGAGAGGGGACTTACAGGTCTAGGTGAGCTGCTCAGCAGCCCCTCTGGGAGTTTCTGATCAGGGAACTCCAAATGGTAGCAGCAGAGTAGAGGTCTTTAATAGCTACAAAGTTTATCTTATCTAGGGCTAGCAGATACTGGATGCAGTTTCTTGGCATATGCAAAACAGGCTAGTTCTAAATAAGTTTTAAAATATGCTTATTTGGGCTGTATTTAAAATAACTGAGTATGTTGTTTTGTTTTGTTTTGTTTGAGAGAGAACGCATGCAAGTGGGGGTGGGGGAGGGGCAGAGTGAGAGGAAGAGAAAGAATCTAAAGCAGCCTCCACACCAGGGAGGACTCAAATGCGGAGCTCACACTTAGGACCCAGAGATCATGACCTGAGCGAGTCAGACGCAGACGCTTAACCGACTGAGTCACCCAGGCGCCCACAGCTGAATATGTTTTAAGTATGAAAATTTGGCTTTGGTGCCCATAGGCTTTTGAGTTCACGAGTCCCAAGCCTGTCCTAAAGAAATCAGCAAACTAGGGGCGAGTATATGGGGGCCATGTTTGGCTTATTTATGTAACATGCTAAAACAAGGATCTTAGGAAGTACAGCCAAGCACACATCTAGAATCCACAGCTCTGCTGAGCCCAGACTGATACCAAAGGGTCTCCCAGGCACGTTGCACATCCAAATTCTGAGTTCAGCGTTCTGACCTGAAAGCCCACTTTGAATGCTGGTGGGGGACAATGGCTGATGACTGATTCCTACCTTACCATCCCTTCATAATCAGAAGAGCAGAAAAATCTAACATGCAGACAACAAATTACACACATAGAAAAGGAATGGGTTAGGAGGCTATTTTACCTACAAGAATGTATGAGGCAGTTTGAGTGAATAGGTAGGTATCCATACAAGTGTGCCTATTGCTGCCTAATGGGGAAATAGGTTCACCAGCAGGTGGCTCTGTTGCATTACGTATCAGAGGGGATCGTTCTTCCAACATAGAACCTTAAAATAAAGCATTTATATTCTGGCCACTAGCTCTAGTAAGCCCTATGTAATCCGGGATATCTATAATGACATATACTGTATTAAGCCTATTCACTATTCAATCCAACAGATTTGCTCAAGTCTTCAGGAAGTTCAGCACAATTAGGAGACTAATTTCACAGAATATGCTAATGAACAAAAGCAATTTACTAGCCAGTCTACCTGCTTCTGGCTCCATAGAACATGACATAAGTAAAATGACTACTCCACTACTCATTTTGCATTGGACATATTCTCCAACAGCAAAGGTTCTCTTTCTTATATTGGTGATTATTCTTTACCTCGAAAGCATTCGAGGCCCAGATAAATAGGTGAATGTAAGTGCATGCGATTGCATTCTAGAGATCTGAAAGTCTGGCATGTCTGTAGGATTGGGCGGGAGGCAGGGATAGAGACTTTCTTCCATTCTCTGCTCTGTTAGCCTGAAATTCAGGTCCAACCTCTATGCTCAAGCCCTTTCATTTTCACAACGTATTTTCTTCTCGGAAACTCTTCATTGTCTCTCATTGACTCAACATCAGGTCTCATTCCCAAAGCTCTGTCTCCAGCATTCTGACGCCATCACTGAATAGAGGTCTTACTACTGCTCAAACTTAAAATGTGGGAGATTGGACTCATCTCTTTCCTCTAAACCAGTTCCTCCTTCTCATTTTCCTCCATTTATGTTAGTGGTCACCACCTGTCCTATTCCTCAGTTATCTTTGGCCCTTTGCTCCCCATCTCTTCCCCCAACTTAATCCTTTCCTGAGTCTGTTCTAGTGTACTTTTGTAAAGTGCTTGAATCTCTCCAAGTTGCTTCTTGAACATCAGCTATGTGCAAGGACTTCTTCAGTGTGTAAGGCACTGAACCAGCCTACCGTTCATTCTTCTGGCAGCATTGAGGCAATACTCATAAAGCAATATGTATCAATAAATCAAATTACCGAAGTCTAATTTTGAACTTAAATAGAAGAAACTCATACTTTTTTTTCTTATTCTTTTTGCAACATGAAATGATTCTAGTGGGCCTTTGGTAGAAAACATAACAAAGGATTTATATGAGCTTTGAGATTGCTGAGCAGAAATCAGACCACCTTATGTAAAGCAGGTGCGATCCCTCCTTGGTACAGGGTGCAACACTGGTTCTCTTATGTTCCTGAGCAGAGCAATGAGCTAGGGAAGCTTGTTAATAAAATGCACATTCCCTGGGGTCCACCCCCGGATACTCTGTTCAGTAGATCTGGAAAAGGGCTGAGGAATCTGTGTTTTTTAAATAAAATACAACAAAAATCTGAGGAGCATTTTAAAGAAATCGTCATGTAGAAGAAACTCTAAGTATTTAATACAGAAATAAAATATTGTCCTGACATCATTAAATTGCTTTATACAACTACTTTTAAATTAGTCACTTAATTCATGTTATTTGATCCCATAATTCTCTCTCAATAGCTGTTTGCTAAAATTCTATCTTTAGAAGTTCATATCTTCAGTTTCTAGTTTTATCTCAGGTGTAAATTTCCATCTTGGTAGAAGTAACACTTCAGTCTGGATCAGTCATTCACAGCTTACCACATATGTGCTTATCAGAGCCTGCTCTGGGGAGAACAGGAAATAGGTAGGGATTCCTGAAAGGAGAAAGAAGGTAGCACAACACACCCAAGGAGGGCAGGGTGCTGGGGCCAGGCTGGGAGGCACCGATATGACTCCTCACAGTGCTCAGAGATGCGGTGATCTGAGGCACAATCACAAATTGTGGTTGAGGCGTGGGCTGGGGGACCCAA